TCATTTCTAACTGCATTATATTCAGAGAAAACAATCTATATGATATTGATCCTTTCTTTAATATTGGTTAGGATTTGCTCTGTAGTCTAGTATGTAATCAATCTTTGTAAACATTTCTATGTACCTAAAAATACTGTGTATTTTCTGATTATTGGATGCAGGATTCTAGAATTGTTCATCAGATCAAAGATGTTGTTCAAATCTCCCATATCTTTGTTAATTTTTTTCCTGCTTGATTGGTCAACTTTTGAGAGAGGTTATTTAAATCTCAAGTAGTAATTGTGGATTTGTCATTTTTCCTTGTAAGTTTCAGTTTTTGCTTTATTATTTGGTGTTTTGTTATAGGTTTACACTTGTTTATCTTTTTGTAGGTTAGATCCTACTGGTTAATCCAATTCCTAGCTCATTCTAGTTCCTTGGCTCCAATGTTTGAGAGTCCTTAAATGAGGTTATGGTCCTGAGGAAACTTAGGGTGATAAATGAGAATGATTTCCCTACCTGAGTATAATATACCATACTTTGTTTGTAGTCATTATATATTGCATAACCATTTTTAATTATGTACTTGGTCTCAATTACCCAATGTAAAGAACCATCAGAAGAGGTCAGTTGAGCTTTCAGAAGGTCTGATGTGACCTTGACCCAGCTAGATGTAACCTATAGCAATCTAGTTTCAAACTGTCTTTCACCTTTATATAAAATTTTAAGTTTTGACCTTCACAGGCCTGCTTTTTTTCACTCTTTCTCTCTCCATGCTAATTAGTAGGATTCTAGAGCTTACTCTTGGGAACGCAGGGCCTCCTAATGAACAATTGTTAGTAAAAGAGCCTCAGAAAGATGAGAATATTTTCTCTCTTTCCTTGTAGCTACTTGCTTTGTATCACAAAGGTAACTTTGATAAAGGGATAAATCAAGAACATTTAAAAACTATTATTCTTTTTCTCCTATTAAAAATTTAGACTTGTATGAAAATATGTCATTCTATTTTCTCTTAGAACTCTCTTTACAAATGCTATTTCTAAAAAACAAACAAATGACAAAACATGGACTTGACAGTGCTGCTATATCCTACGAGATATAACCTGTAGTGTCTGCAGTGTCAGTCTGCCTTTCTAATCATTGACTTGTTTGATAAAGGGTACCCACAAATATGCTTTAAATTAACATCTCTGTTTTGCTGAAGATTTTTACATTTATATTTATAAATTTTGTTGTTGTTAGTCAAAAAAGAAGGTTTGGGTTTGCCTCTTCTCCCCCCATTCATATAATCTCATGACTCCCCTTGGATTCTCTATTCAAAGAGTTTGAGAGATTTTGTTTTATTTAAAATAAGACCCACTAGAGAGGCACCTGGCTGGCTTAGTCGGTGGAGCACTCAACTTTTGATTTTGGGATTGTAGTTCAAGCCCCATGTTGGGTTTAGAGATTACCTAAAAATAAAATCTTTAAATAAATAAAGAAAACATACCCACTGTAACTTTTTCCCATCTTCCTATTTTCAACCCTTTTGTGTCCTTATGCTTTAATTGTGACTCAATCCAATCTGATATTTAGTTTTTTAACTGGCAAGTATAATACATTCATATTTATTATGCTTACTGACATATTTAAATTGTTTTTGACATCTTATTTTGTGGTTTCTATTTACTTTGCTTCCTTTTTCTCTTTTCCTGCCTTCTTTTGAATTGATAGCTTTCTTGTCACCCTCTACTGGTTTGAAAATAATACACTAGAGCGCCTGGGGGGCTCAGTCCTTAAGTGTCTGCCTTCAGCTCAGGTCATGATCCCAAGGTCCTGGAATTGAGGCCCCCATCAGGCTCCCTGCTTGGTGGGAAGCCTTCCTTTCCCTCTCTCACTCCCCCTGCTTGTGTTCCCTCTCTCTCCATATCTCTCTCTGTCAAATAAATAAAATCTTTAAAAAAGAAAATGATACACTCTATTTCTATTTTATTTTACTAGAAAAAAATTCTTAGCATGAATATGTATATCTAATGCTATCATCTATCTATATAATTTCTAATTTCATCCTCTATGTCAAATATAACCTATCTTTTATATTTTCACTTCTTTATCTAAGCTAGATCCTAGGTGATTTTTTCAGAGCTATCTTCCAATTCATAATTCTCTTTAGTTTGTCTGATCTGCTATTTAACTCCTTTATGGAATTTTAGATTTCAATAACCATGTTTTTCTTTTCAAAAATTTCTTTTGTTCCTTTCTGCTCTTTCCAGCAGTCTTGATATTTTCTTATTCTTTCTCTTATTTTTTATTCTTTCATATATTTAATGATTTAAACATACTTTATAATCTGATAGTTCCGGTATTTGAAATGTGTAAGGGTTCTGCTGCAATTGTTTTCTGACTCGTTCATGGTAGATTAGTATTTTTCATAATTTGGATTATGAACTCATCTTCACAGAATTTTATCTGTGGGAATATTGTAAGTCTTAGTTGAAATGTATCCTCCAGAGAAATTCTGCCTTTGTTTCTGCCAGGCTTGCTAGGAATTGTTACCAGCCTAGGATGATACTGAAATATAATGTTTTCCCTGATAATTTTAGTGTTACAGAGGTAGCATAAATTCAAGGTCCTAAACCCTTTTTAAGGCATGCTGTGGGTTGCAAATTCTTGAGGGAAATATTTTTCTCCCATCTAGAGCCCAAACCCAAACAGACAAATCTCCGTATCTTGTCTTTCATTCTATACTTTCTCCCTAGACAATATCTTCTGAACAAAAGCATCATTTGTCTCTGCCAGTGACACCAAGATTTTACATATCTTCAGCACAGATTCTCAACCTTTGAATTCCAAACCCTCGTATCTATCTACCTATTTGAATATTTAAGGTACCATCTCAATCTCCACTAGTTTAAGATCAATAAAGTTTATGACCTTCCCTTCAAAACCAGTTCTCTTCTAGTGTTTTCTATCTCAGTGAATGGCATGACTATCCATACAGCTGTACAAGCCAGGAATTCAGGAGCCATCCTTGACATCCCTCTTTTTCTCATCCTGCCCACCCCAAACTAACCCATCACCAACCCCTGTCACTTTTCCTCTTAAATATCTCTTAAATCTACTGATTCTCCCCATATCCACTGCCTTCAGACTACTTCAGGCTACTACTATGCTCTTTAACCTGGACCACTGGACTTTCCTTACATTGAAAGAATTTATCCAAATAGAGATTGGATTGTTTCTCTTTACTGCTTGAAACACTCATTTACTAGTGTCACATTCATAGCTCTTAAGTACTTAATATTGTCTGTGCAGCTCTGCATGACCAGCCACTGCTAATTCTTGGACCCATTTTCATTTCAATGTCTTCTCTGTGCTAGCCACATTAGCCCTCATTGTATTACTTAAAACCACAATTCTCTGTCTTCCCACGCAGCTTTGGTACATGCTATTTCCTTTTTCTGGAATGTCAGTCCCTCCATCCCCAACTTTATCTAGTCATTATGCAACTCATTCTTCATTTCTCTATTCAAACATTATTTGTTCAGTTCTCATCCCTTTCTTTCAATGTCTTTGTTTATTTATAACAATATATACATTGCTGTGGTTACATGCTTGATGTCTGTTTTTCCCCCTTGGCTAGTGAGATCAGAACTGTTGTCTAGTTTTGCTTCTTACTTTATCTTGAGTGCTGGCATAGACCAGAATGTAGAAAGTGCTTAATAATAATAAATATTTCTTGAATGAATAATGATCATTAAAAATAAGATTACAAATACACATCTATTCATTATAATCCAAAGGTAAAGAAGAAGTGGATAGAGTTACAGATAAAATAAGTGACAACTACATGGGGGAACCCATTATACTACTCTCTTTACTTTTCCATGTTTAAAGTTTCCTTAAGAAATACGCAACTTACAAAATCAGAACACTTTATTTGAGTGTCTGGATAAACAGTGAATGTAATCTTAAAAATAAAATATTGGCTTGGGACGCCTGGGTGGCTCAGTTGGTTAAGCTGCTGCCTTCAGCTCAGGTCATGATCCCAGCATCCTGGGATCGAGTCCCACATCGGGCTCCTTGCTCAGCAGAGAGCCTGCTTCTCTCTCTGTCTCTGCCTGCCACTCTGTCTGCCTGTGCTCGCTCTCGCACTCTCTCTCTCTCTCTCTCTGTGACAAATAAATAAATAAAATCTTAAAAAAATAAAAATAAAAAAATATTGGCTATTGTTGAGAATGTTGCTATAAACACAGGGGTACATGTATGCCTCTGAATTCACATTTTTATATCCTTTGGGTAAATACCTAGTTTATTTAATTGCTGGATCATAAGGTAGCTCTATTTTTAACTTTCTGAGGCATCTCCATACTGTTTTCCAGAGTGGCTGCACCAGTTTGCATTCCCACCAACGTGCAAGAGGGTTCCCTTTCTCTGCTTCCTTGCCAATACCTGTTTTTTCCAAATTATGGAAAGAGCCCAAATGTCCATTGACTCATGAATGGATAAAGAAGATGTGGTATACATACACATATACATATATATACATATATATGCACACATACACACACATACACACACACACTGGACTATTACTCAACCATAAAAAATAATGAAATCTTGCCATTTGCAATGACACGGGTGGAGCTAGAGAGTATTATGCTAAGTGAAGTCAGTCAGAGAAAGACAAAAACTATATGATTTCACTCATATGTGGAATTTAAGAAACAAAACAAATGAACGCCAGCGGGAGGAGGAAAGGCAAACCAAGAAACAGACCCTTAAGTATAGAGAACAATCTGAAGATCACTGAAGGGGAGGTGGGTAGGGGGTGGGTTAAACAGGGATTGGGTATTAAGGAGGACACTTGAGATGAGCACTGGGTGTTGCATGTTAAGTGTTGAATCACTAAATCCTACACCTGAAACTAATATTGCACGGTATGTTAATTAGCTGGAATTTAAATAAAACTTGGAAAAAAATAAAATATTGGCTCTTCAGGGAATGAATATTTTGTTTAGCTAAAAAGAAATTATACTGACCTGAAGATATTTCGGTAATGGTTAATTGGGCCACTTAATGCTCCAGGCTGGGAGAAGACATAAATATAAGCTTCAAGATCTTCTGTCGTTAATCGGCATCCTTTTCTTCCAATGCCAGTGCTGTGACTGGTGAACAGATGTTTCAAAGCCTAATTTAAGTGAAAAGAAAATAATTAAAACTTTTTAGTTACCTCACCATAAACTAAACCTTTGGCTTTTGAAAGAGAATGGTCAGTGTGAGTGACAACTCCCCCTTTCTGCTCTAGCCAAGTAGAAGACCTCATTGTTTACAAACACATTAGACACATTTTTGCTTTCCTGGCCTGACTTTTGATATTCTTCCCTTTGAATCCCCCATGTACACTTCATCCTTAGGAAAAGCAACCTGTCTTTCTTGGTGCCTATTCACTTTCTACAAGGCTAAGCTTAGGTAGTATCACCACTCTAAAGTCTTCCATAATATTCTAACAGTAGTTATCTGTTTACTGATAACCAATCTATTCTCCCCCCACAACTGTTTGAACTTTTTTTGACCACAATCCAGAGTAACAAACACATTTTATATCATGATCCAGTCTATACTCCTACACTTAGATTTCTGAAACAAAAGTTAAAAGAAATATCCCTTACTCTTATTATAGTGTGTAGTGATATTTTCAACTCACTTCTGTTCTTCTTTATTTTTAAAAATTCAAATTGCAAGCCACTAAACTGATTTCTTGACTCACGAGTGGGCCCCCACCCACAAATTTAAAAACACTGCTCTCTACCCGCATTTCTCAAAGATCAAATCACCTGCATCAGAATCATTGGGATTTTTATTTAAAATGCAAATCCCTCAGGGCACCTGGGTGGCTCAGTCCACAAAGTATCAATCTCTTGATTTCAGCTCAGGGTCTCAGGGACCCTGATCTCAGGTTCCTGGGATGAGCCCCATGTCTGGCTCCATGCTCAGTGGGGAATCTGCTAAGGATTTTTCTCCCTCGTCTCTGCCCCTGCTTCTCTCTCTCCAAAATAAATAAATCAGTCCTTAAAAAAAAAAACAGATAAAATGCAGATCCCTCAACCCCAAAACACACCTGCAAAACTATGAAATGATTTATGTGGGAGGTGATTAATTGAAACATTATTTGTAATAGCAAAAGACTGGAAACAAAATTTCCATCAGTGGGAGACTGAATAAACTATGGTATAGCCACATGATGGTATGTGTTCTGAATACTCGAAGAGAAGATAGACATGATTACGTACTATGGAGTAGCTGATCCCCAGGACATAGTTTTAAGGGGGGGTATGTGGAAAATTGTGTTTATAGTATGTTATCTTTTGTGTAAGAAGGAGTAGAAAAATACACACACATATGCCTATATTTTCCAAAAAAGAAACCATAAAAAAAAAAAGAAACAAAAACTAACCAAACGGTTTCCCTATGGAGAGGCAGGAAACAGGACAGAGACAGAGAAACAGGAAACAGAGACCTAAGCGAGACCTCTCTGCACCTTGTAGTAGAATTATGACTAGAACCGCATAAATGGTTTTTATAAAATATAAAAGTTAAGCAAAACTTTTAGTCTCAATTTTGCTTTGGAAATACGAATAAGAACTTGTGGTTTTTTTCACTCTAAAAATACGTATGTACAAAGTCTATCCAATGGAAATATCTAGAAGCAATAAAAACCCAGTAACAATGATCATCTTGACACCAGGACTATGGTTTCCAAGTAAAATTTCCTACCAATAGGAGCCCAAGTTCCTTCAATGAATGTCTGATTCCAGATCTGCAGCAGCAAATAAAAAAGGAACCCAGGACATTAAGAAAGCAAGCTATTACTGACTGAAGATTTATGTCAAAAGGACACAGGAGCCATAAAAGTCCTTTTCTGTCAGAGATATATGCAGAAGTATTTCCAAGTAAAATAATATTGTCTTTTTTAAAGCTGCCTTAAATACCTAACACCACATTAGATATACAAGAAGCAGTCGATAGACTTTCAAGAAATAGGAACAACACATGACTCCTGGTTGTCCCTGTATATGGTACACAATTCCTGCACGCTTACTTTGTTTCAGGGTTTTGTTTACACCCAAAGGCCTCCACTTCTGTTATGTCAAACTCTCTCACCTGGCATTCATATTCCCTTGTCTCCCCATGGAATGTTTGCTGAAAAGAGATATGCCTGTAGGGGCACAGGCTCTTACAAAAAATTGAACAATATCTGGGCATTCAAATATACAGAGACTGTAAAAATAAGCCTATAGATTAGGTCTTAGAAGCATGTATTAAATATTAGCATTTGCCTATTTTTCTTTCTGAAGGATAGATTTTAAAATGTTTTTTATTAATATAAATACATTATTTGTTTGACTTATTTTTTTCTTACATAGGAGGAAATGCCTAACAGTGGACAGCATATCACAATAATCAATAAATGCATATTTTAAACAAATCAGACAACATAAAAAGGGCCAATTCTTTCTTTTTTTCTTTTTTTTAGTGCCTCTGTATATTTTTATTTTGTTTTAACTTCCTAATTTTGTCATTTTCTTGGGCTCCAGTTTTTCAGTTTTATTCTAATGGTATAATTGACCTATAACATTATATTAGTTTCAGGTATACAACAAATATGTATACACAATAAATATACAATGTATATTTATATGCATTGCAAAATGATCACCACAATAATTCTAGTTAACATCCATCACCAGATTTGACTTACCTTAAAATCATTTATTGAGAACATAAATTCTGGGAACCATGGTATTTGGAAGAAGTAATAATGGCTGGATTTGAACAGCTGGACAGGGTGTCGTAAAATATATTCTGAAATTAAAATGCTATGTTAGACCTTATTCAAGGTGTATTAATTACTTACTGTTGAAAGAACTTTGTTTTAAGGCAATTTCACCTTTGAGATGAAAAAAGAATCCACAAGTAAGCCGTTGTGTATTCTCTTTGGAAAAATTTCTTTTTTAAAAAAATTAACATATAATGTATTATTTGTTTCAAGGGTACAGGTCTGATTCATCAGTCTTACACAATTCACAACACTCACCATAGCACCCATCCTCCCCAATGTCTATCACCCAGCCATCCCATCCCTCCCACCCCCTCCACTCCAGGAACCCTCAGTTTGTTTCCTGAGGTTAAGAGTCTCTTACAGTTTGTATCCCTCTCTGCTTTCACCTTTTTTCATTTTCCCCCTCCCTTCCCCTATGAGCCTCTTTTTTCCCAAATTCCTCCTATCAATGAGATCATATGATAATTGTCTTTTTCTGATTGACTTATTTCACTTAGTATAATATCCTCTAGTTCCATCCATGTCATTGCAAATGGCAAGATTTCAGGGGTTTTGATGGCTGCTTAGTATTCCATTGTGTATATATATACCACATCTTCTTTATCCATTCATCTGTTAATGGACATCTGGGCTCTTTCCATAGTTTGGCTATTGTGGACATTGTTGCTATAAACATCGGGGTGCATGTGCCCCTTTTGATCACTACATTTGTAATTTCGGGGTAAATACCCAGGTAGGGTAGATCTATTTTCATCTTTTTGAGTAAACTCCATACTATTTTCCAGAGTGGCTACACCATCTTTGGAACAATTTCTATGTTCTTATATTTTATTATGGATATTTCAAGTGTTTAGAAAGTTTATAGCCCTTTAAATAAAAAGAAAACTTCATTTTATGAAGTCTTGACTCAGAAAGGAATGGGAAACCCAAACGACACTGCTTTTTCTCCAAGGTTATTATCAGTGACCTCACACTTTTCCTAGGGATATATGGGGAGGTAATTTTCTGTTGCTTAAAAGACTTTCTTGGAGCACCTGGGTGGCTCAGCGGGTTAAGCCTCTGCCTTTGGCTCAGGTCATGATCTCAGGGTCCTGGGATCAAGCCCTGCATCAGGTTCACTGCTCAACGGGGAGCCTGCTTCCTCCTCTCTCTGCCTGCCTCTCTGCCTACTTGTGCTCTCTCTCTCTGTCAAATAAATAAAAAAATAAATAAAAATTCTTTAAAAAAAAATAAAGACTTTCTTTACAGAAGGATTTGAATACCTTATTCATTGGGCCTCAACAGAAACTAAAGTGTTTCCTATAAGTTTATGCTAGAAAATTCATTCATTCAGGGAATATTTGAATATCTACTGTGTGTGAGGGGATTTAGCAGTCAAGACAGAAGAGGTTCCCATTAATAAAGAGCTTATACAATAAGTATTGATACTTTAAAAGATGATTTTAGATAGCAATAATATCATAAAGAAAATTAAAACAAGGTAATCTGATTGAGAGTGATGATTGGGTGTTGTGGAGGGCTATTATTTAGTAGAGGTGATCAGAATAGGCTTCTCTGGGTTTGTGATACACAGACTAAGTCCTGAATGGTAAGAGGGAGTTGGCTATGCAAAGATCTAGGGAGAAAATCCAAGAACAGAAAGTAGGTCCTGGGCTTGGCACATTTAGGAAGAAGAAAGAACGTCAGTGAATGATGTGTAGTGAATGAGGAGGGAGAGGTGGTATGAGATGAGTCAGAGAGCAAAACAGAAACCCAGTCTGGGAGGGCCAGAGGAGATGGACTTTTAAGGGCTTTGGAAAGACACTGAAGCTTTGAACTGGTGAGTAGTGTAATCACACATATTAAGTATGTATACTTATTTTTTTCTTGTGCACTATGTATATATAATTTTTGCTATAGAGGTCATCTTTTTTTATTTCTAATTTTGTAACTAACATGGTTAGTGTTCACATAGTTGGAATTTTTAGAACTATAATTCTCAGATAAGTGGAGATAAGTTATGCTATACTTTTTGTAAAGTCATCATCGAACAAAATTTATTCAGCCCTGCATTAAGAGATAGCAATATAATTAAGGGTTAAATACAGGCATATTACTTGAAGACCTTATATTAAGCTGACTAAGGTTGAACCTAGTCTGAATAAAACAATTCCAGAAATATTTCAAGAATCTTCTTGCTGAAATGACCAATTACAATTTGTCCTTTTAGCAACATCACAAAAATAACCTTTACTCAAGGATCCCAATCAATGGAATAAGCATGTAGCACCACTTTTGCTACTTAACGCAACTGAGAAAAATATAGGGAATTTCAGTTCGATATTTGAATCCTAAGCATCCATGCTGTTACCTCAACAGAAATGGGACAATTGGATCTATATCTAAAACTCAACTCTTGGGGTGCCTGGGTGGCTCAGTTGGTTAAGCACTGCCTTCAGCTCAGGTCATGAGCCCAGAGTCCTGAGATTAAGCCATTCATTGTATTGGGCTCCCTGCTCAGCAGAAAGCCAGCTTCTCCCTCTGCCACACTTGTCCTCTCTTGTTCTCGTTCAAATAAATAAATAAATAAATAAAAACTTTTTAAAAAATAAAGTAAAATCCAACTCTTACACTTATAATATACAATATTTATGTAGTCATGTTTCCTTTCTCCCTTTTATGTAGTCATGTTTCCAACATAAATTTTTTTGTTCCCTAGAGGGCTGCTGTGAGTCATAGCAGTACCTGAAATTCAGAAAACTTGACACGGGTAGTTAAAGAGGATAAGATGATAGTTTTTGGCAAAACCAAATAAAAATGTGCCTAGCCACAGCTCACTGGTCTTTAAACACTCTGAGGATTTTAAGAGTTCCCTTTATAGCAGAGGTTCTCAGAGTATAGCCCATGTGGACCTCTGGGGATCCCTAAGACCCCTTTAAGCAATCTGGACAGTCAAAACTATTTCATTACAATACTAAGACATTTTTAGCTTTTCTCCTTTGGTTGACATTCATGCTTATGGTACAAAAACCATAGTAGATAAAGCCATTGCTGCCTGAGCACAAAGCAAGGTAGTGTTACTAAACAGTCCTAGCAGTAGCAGTCATTGTCTTCTTTGCCACCACATACTTGCAGCAAACAAATACATAAACACATAAAATTAAGTGCCAGTTTCACTTAGGAATGTCCTAGATAAAATAGCAAAAATTATTAATTTTATTACATTTCAACCCTTGTGTACATGGCCTTTGAACGTTGAGATGAATCAGAATGTACACATAAAGCAGTTCTGTTGATCACCCAAGAACAATGGTTGTCTCAAGGAATAGCATGCCTACAATCCTTTGAGTTGATTAGATGAATTAGCCGCTTTTCTTATGGAATACCGTTTTTTACTTGAAAGGATGGCTAACAAATTATCATCAGTCAGACTTGAATATTTGACAGATAGTCTCTTGAAAATGAACAAAGTGAGCCTGTCACTTGGGGGGAAACAATCAACGGTATTTGTTGCCAACAACAAAATTCAAGCTTTCAAATAAAAATTAGAATTTTGGAGATGTGCATTTACGACTGCGAGCATGACAGTATTGCAATACTCAACAACTTTTTGATGGAACTGGGGCAATATTAGTGAATGTGATTCTTTGATATAACATAATAAAATGTGCCGGCTTAGGGAAGATCTATATATCTCTACAAACCAATATCTTCCAATGCATGATGATGCAAAATTACACATGGGTAAAAAATCCATTCAAAGTGCTAGTGAGACTAATGGATTTAAAGTAACAGAGTACAAAAAGTTCATTAATATGACATCAGATTCTACATTGTACTAACCTTTAAGAAACCACCAGTTTTCGAGTTTGGTGTAGTATTAAAGAAGAAAATCCACAGTTATCTGAAAAGACTATTAAAATACTCCTCCCTTTTCCAATTACAAATCTGTGTGAGGCCAGATTTCTTCATACACTTCAATTCAAACAACATATTGTAACAGACTGAATGCAGAAGCAGATCTGAGAATCCAGCTGTCTTCTATTAAGCCAAAAATTAAACAGGTTTGCAAAAATGTAAAACAGTGACATTCTTCTCACTAACATTTTGTTTGGGAAGATGTAGCTAGTTTTCATTAAAATGTTAATCATGTTAACAGATCCTGAATTTACTATTTTTAATGAATTAATATATAATTTTAAATTTTCTCCTTTTTAATTTTTAATACAGTAAATATTTTTATATATGTCCTATATAAACAAAAGCTCAATGGGTCTTTAATAATTTTTAAGAGTACAAAGAGTCCTGAAACTCAAAATTTGAGAACTATGGCTTTAAAGAATGCTGTCATTCCTGATAGCCCAAGCAGTCAGGCAAGAGGAGAATTTATTTCTAGATTGTCAAGATTCATTACTGTCAAAGTAATGTTATTGCATTTTTTCCGTTTATCCCTATCCAAGTGAGCATTAAAATAGTCTCTAAAAAAATAAAATTATGTAAGCAAATATGAAGCTACAATTTGTCACTCTTGTAAAATATTTAAAGCCAAGGTATCTGACATTGTCATATGCTAATATCATATTTTAGTTATTTAACTTAAAAAAACTACTGTTTTTAATCCAAAGTGTCAGTGACAACAATGAATTATCACATGAGCAAAAATGTTTTAATTAAAATTTATACTCACCTGTAAATACATTTGGGTGAGGGAAGTTAATAACAATAAGTTTCATCACCATTTCAGGATAACAGATGGCAATTAGCCAAGCAATCATCCCCCCCCAGTCATGACCAATAAGAACACATTTGCTATATCCTGTAATGGAGAAAAAAAATGTTGATGTCATTGAAGGTGGATGCATCATTACAACACATAAAATGCGTACACTTTTGAAACTAATCTTCCCATTATAATCCGACTCTAATTATGCACTTCATGAAGATACTGAGTTTGGTGTTTCCAAAACCTGTATGTCCGAATCACCTAAGTAGCTTCTTAGAAAATTTAGATGTCCCGCCTCCATTCTAGACGTACAGATTCAGAATCTGTCCTGGGAATCTATATATATATATTTTTTAAAATCTGAAATAGCTAGCTCAGCTCTTGTTCCACGAACCCGAGTTTGGAAAACCATGGTAAAAATTACACATAATTAGGTCATAAGCAAGACTATATTATTGATTTGCCTAGAAAATTGCATGAAGACAAATTTAGGCCAAGTCTGACTGAATTACCACAGAAGAAGAATGAAATAGGGCTGATGGAAATCAATGTCTTTGAGTCTATTTTATTGTAATCAGACTAAATGACAACACTGCTTTGATACCCCCAGACCTCATCCATTTTTTTCTCCTCTTAGTATATTGGCCTGATCTTTGTTCTCTTTAGATTATTGTAGAAAAGGCCTTTAATTTGATTTCATGGGTTTCTTACAATATTATTTCCATTAACATACCATGGTAGCAGCTGGGTTTTAGTCAAAAAAGATGTAGTGGATTCGATTGTTATTAAAAAATATTTACTTCCCCTCTCTCCCTGCTGCCATAAAAGCAGTATATGTTGCTATCCCTTTTATGCTAGACTTAACCATGTGATTTGCTTTGGTCATAGGGTGGGAGAATGACTTGACTTTGGACTCAGCCTTATGACTTGCTTTGACCAATGTGCTGCAAGCAGAAAATTGAAATAAGGTTCCACATCTGGGCTCACCCTCTTGCCATTTCTGTCATTTCCAGGAGAAGAGGAAAAGCTACTTGTGTTGCAGCCCAACTCAGAGGGAGAAGTCAGTCCCAGCAGGACCTGTAACCTGAGGCAAAGACCCAGTGGTCCAGCCTACACTTGACCTTCACACCCACGAGCATGTGAATAAATGCCTATGGCCATGTTTGGCACGTTGTGGCACTAGCTGATCAACATAAGAAAGATAGCGCAGGACACACGGGTGGCTCAGTCAGTTCATATGCCTTTGGCTCAGGTCATGATATCAGGGTCCTGAGCTTGAGCCCCACATTGTGGGGGGGGGGTCCCTGCTCAGTGGGGAGTCTGCTCTTCTCTCTCCCTCTGCACCTCCTCCTGCTTGTGCTCTCTCTCTCAAATAAACAAACAAAAATCTTAAAAAAAAAAAAAGAAGAAAGATTGTGCAAGTGCTTCTTCATGTTATAACATTTTTAAATGATTATTTAGATGTGCATTCTGAAGAAATAAATTTTCTGAGTACAAGAATCAAATTTCCAATAACTAGTTCTGAAAATAATTAATTGCATACATTAGAAATACTCTTAAAAACAAATTTTCGAAGTCATTCTTGGCTGGTGGGCTGAATTGTCATTCCGGATGTATTATTTTCAATATCATCTATAAATATTCTCAGCTGTATACCCAAAACCATGGTGACAAGATCCAGACAACAGCTCAGGTAAATGGAAATGCCTCCTCCCAAGAAATGAGGTTACCAAGTCACAATTTTTTGAATGTTAGTCCCTTAAAAGGGACTATACTAGTTTTTTAAAGCTGACCTACCTAAAGAGTCTAAAATATCCCTTATATCTGTAATTAGACAGTCCAATTTGTAATTTTCTCGATGAATGGGAGCATCTGTTTCTCCATAGCCTCTCAGATCAAGCGCTACAACTCGATATTCACTTTTAAATTCCCTTAGTTGGTGACGCCAAGAATACCTGCAGGAAATAAGAAACACTAAAAATACCACAGTAGCAAATCCAGAGAGTAACATTACAGCTTTTCTACGTGGACAACTCTGAGAAACTGTCTATTTTGAGAAAGGTTATAAAGGCCATCTGTGAGACAGAGGAAGGGACATGTTTCAGAAGGGATCACTGAAGTTCTTTATAAAAATTTATTGTTATTTTTTTTTACCAGCTCCAGTGGGGTGTAACAGAGGACCATTACTTACAGACACTACAAAATATCAGATACTAAAACTAATATACTTCTATATGTACTGAAGAAATCAATTTTCGAGCCTTCCTTAAATAATGCTCACAGCTATCAGGGAAATCTGTACTTACATATGCTTCTGTGGAGAAGATCCTGAAAGAGTACAAGCAAGTGTGATATTTAAAATATTTAAAGGAGGGGCGCCTGCGTGGCTCAGTGGGTTGGGCCTTTGCCTTCAGCTCAGGTCATGGTCTCGGGGTCCTGGGATCGATCCCCATGTTGGGCTACCTGCTCTGCAGGGAGCCTGCTTCCCCCTCTCTCTCTCTGCCTGCCTCTCCGGCTATTTGTGATCTCTCTCTGTCAAATAAATAAATAAAATCTTAAAAAATATATATTTAAGGGGCGCCTGGGTGGCACAGTCAGTTAAGTGTCCAGCTCTTGGTTTCAGCTCAGGTCAGGATCTCAGGGTCATGACACCTTGGGCTGCATCAGGCTTGCGATCAGCACAGAGTCTGCTTGACACTCTCTCTCCTTCTCCCTGTGACCCTCCTACTTGTGCTCAATCTCTCCCAAATAAATAAATAAATAAATCTTAGGAAACAAAAACAAACAAACCCCAAAAAGACCCACACACTTAACAGCCAAAATGGCACTGGCATTAACTGACCAGTTAAAATGACCAGCATTGGGGGTCTGGGTGGCTGGTGGGTTAGGTTTCTGACTTCCGCTCCAGTCATATCTCAGGGTCCTGGGATCAAGCCTGGCGTTGGGCTACCCACTCAGTGGGAATCCACCTCTCCCTCTTCCTCATCTTCCTCCAAAACCCTGGCTTTTTTTTTTTTTTTCCCCTTTCTATGTCAAATAAATAATTTTTTTAAAAAAAGAAAAAAAATGAATGGCCAGCGTGCTACAGCCAAGTCCTGGAGGCCTCTGCAGCACCAGGTGTCCCCCGCCCCCGCACCCCGCCGCGGCTGTGCTTGATCATGGAACTGCAGAATTAAATGAAATAAAAAGATCCGGGGCGCCTGGGTGGCTCAGTGGGTTAAAGCCTCTGCCTTCGGCTGAGGTCATGATCCCAGGGTCCTGGGATCGAGCCCTGCATCGGGCTCTCTGCTCAGCGGGGAGCCTGCTTCCTCCTCTCTCTCTGCCTGTCTCTCTACATACTTGTGATCTCTATCTGTCAAATGAATAAATAAAAAAAAAAAATCTTAAAAAAAAATGAAATAAAAAGATCCATGAGACTTTCTTTTCTTTTCTTTTTAAAATGATCTTATTTTTAAATAACCTCTGTACCCAATGTGGGGCTCAAATTTACAACCCTAAGATCAAGAGTCACGCGCTCTACCGACTGAGCCAGGCAGGCACCCAGAACACGAGATTTTCTTCTTCAAACAAGCAACAACAACAAAAAAAAGGTGCGGATTTTTCAAAGTGACTCACTATGTTGTGGAACTCCACACTTGATCTTAGCCAAAAGACCGAGAAGCGATTGTTGTGGAACTCCAAATAGGCATTTAAAAAATGGGTCCGCATGCACATCTGTTCATGGAAACAGTGTAGAATTATCTGACATGAGCCAAATGGGAGATAATCGTCTGAGAAGATTTTTGGAGTGCAATAGGCAAGTGCACACAGGGATCTGCACTTGTAAGCCAATAGTGAGAGAGAGACTGCGAGGTGAGGTGTCACACAGCAGTAAGGTCAATGAAGCAAACTGTGGGCTTTACATCAACAAGTCCTCAGGAAGAGTGTCAGACACATATTTGTAATTATGCGTGGATACAGAATCTTTGATTTATTATCAGAATACCTATGATTTGTGAAAATCTGAAAAGGATTACCAATGAAGACATATTTGAAACATTAAGAAAAAATATGTTTCCTAGTGAGGTCATAGTAATCTTACTAATATGGTCTTTAGGTTGCAACAAATGAAGCAGTGTGTTTCCTCAGAGATACTCATCTGTCAACAACAATATTATTTTCTCATTAGCCTTACTTAAAAATTTCAATTGACTTTTTTATGTCTTTGTAACTGGAGCCTAACTGGTCCCTCTTCAGAGATTACCTCATGCCTAATCAATAAAGTTCTGCAGATTTAACCTTTTAAATATTTATTTAATCACTTTTCCTGTCCATCCCTACTATCATTACCTTAATTCAGGCCTCCATTAATGCGGCAACCTATCGATTGGTCTGTATGCATTTCACTCCCCCCAGTGCTGTCTTCCACAAAATCAGACTGAGGTCGCAAAAACACAAATTCCATCATGTCATTTCGCTGCTTAACATCTTTTCTTGAATCCCTACTATAGGCATAGCTCAGAGATCGTGCAGATTGGTTCCAGACCACAACAATAAAGTAAATATCACGATAAAGTAAGTATAAAAGTTATATTTACATTGTAATCTATTAAGTGTGTAATATAGCATTATGTCTAAAAACAATGTATAAATCGGAATTTAAAAAGTATTGTTTGACTGATAAATCACAGACCTGTACCCCTGAAACAAATAATACATTATATGTTAGCAATAAATAAATAAACTCATATTAAAAAGTTCAAAAAAAAAAGTATTGCTCGTATAGAACTGTTGAATCACTATGTTGAACACCAAAAACTAATATAACACTGTATGTTAACTACACTAGAATTAAAGTTAAAAGCATAACAAAATCAGAAAAAGAAAAAAATACTTTATTGCTAAAAAAGTGCTAACCACCATCCAAACTTTTAGAGAGTTGTAATCTTTTTTTTTTTTTTTTTTTGCTGGTTGAGGGTCTTGCCTCGATGTTGATGACTGCTGACTGACCAGGGTGGTGGCTGCTGGAGACTGGGGTGACTGTGACAATTTCTTAGAATACAACAACAATGATGTTTGCTGCATTGATTGACTCTTCCTTTCATGAATGATTCTCTGTAGCGTGTGATGCTGTTTGATAGTGTTTTACCCACAGTAGAAGTTCTTTCACAATTGGAGTCCGTCCTCTCAAACCCTGCCTCTGCTTTATCGACTAAGTCTATGTCATATTCTAAATCCTCTGTTGTCATTTCAACAATCTTCACAGCATCTTCACCAGGAGTAGATAGAGTCCAGCTCAGGAAACCACTCTTTGCTCATCAGTAAGAAGCAGCCCCTTAGCCGTGAACGATCCATCAGGAGATTGCAGCCGTCCAGTCACATGTTCAGGCTGTTTCCACTACATCTGCTGTTCCTGCCTCCACTGAGCCTGCCAGGTTACCCATGAGGGCTGGGATCAACTTCTTCCAGACTCCTGTTCATGTTGACATTGTGACCTCCTCCCATGAGTCACGAATGTTCTCAGTGGCGGCTAGAATCGTGAATCTTTTCCAGAAGATTTTTGATTTACCTTGCCCCCAGATCCATCAGAGACATCACCATGGCAGCTGCAGCCTTATGATATGTATTTCTTATATAATTAGGCTTAAGGAGTAGAAATCACTCCATGATCCACGGGTTGCAGAATGGATGTTGTGTTAGCAGGCATGAGAACAACAGTCATCTCGTTGTCCAGCTCCATTAGAGCTCCTGGGTAACCAGGTGCATTATCAGTGAGCAGTCAGATTTTGAAAGAAATCTTTTTTTTTTTTTTGTCTGAACAGTAGAGCTCAACAGTGGATTTAAAATATTCAGCAAACCATGCTGTAAACAGATGTGCTGTCATCCAGGCTTTGTTGTTCCATTTATAGAAAACAGGCAGAATGGATTTAGCATAATTCTTAAGGGCTCTAGAATTTTCAGAATAATCAGTGATCATTGCTTCAACTTCAAGTCACCAGCTGTATTAACCTCTAACAAGACTGTCAACCTGTCCTTGAAATTTTGAGGCCAAGCGTTAACTTCTCTCTAGCTAGGAAAGCCCTAGAAAACATCTTCTTCCAATAGAAGGCTGTTTCATCTACTTGAAAATTTATTGTTTATTGTTGCCACCTTCATGAATGATCTGAGTCATACCTTCTGCATGACTTGCTGAAGCTTCTACATCAGCACTTTGCTTCACCTTGCACTTGTCTGTTCTGAAGATGACTTCTTTTCTCAAACCTCAAGAACCCACCCCTGTTAGCTTCCCACCTTTCTCCTGCAGCTTTCTCACCTCTCTGAGCCTTCACAGAAGTAAAGATAGTTAGGGCCTGGCTCTGAATTAGGCTCTGGCTTAAGGGAATGTTGTGGCTGGTTTGATCTTCTACCCAGACCACTGACAATTTCTCCATATCAAAAATAAGGCTGTTTCACTTTCTTATCATTTGTATGTTCATTGGAGTAGCACTTCTAATTTCCTTTAAGAACTTCTTCATAGCAGGGGCACCTGGGTGGCTCAGTTGGTTAAGCACCTGCCTGGGTGCTTAACAGGGTCCTGGGATCAAGCCCTACCTTGGGCTCCTCGCTCCACAGAGAGCCTGCTTCTCCTTCTCCCTCTGCCTGCTGCTCTGCCTACTTGTGCTCTCTCTCTATCTCTCTGTCAAAAAAAATAAATGAAATCTTAAAAAAAGAAAAAAAGAACTTTTTCCTAGCATTCACAACTTGGCTAACTGGTGGGAGAGGCCTCACTTTCAGCCGATCTTGGCTCTTGACATGCCTTCCTCACTAAGCTTAATCCTTTCTGGTTTTTGATTTAAAGTGAGAGATATGGGACTCCTCATTTCACTTGAACATTTAGAGGCCATTGTAAGGTTATCAACTGGCCTAATTTCAATATTGTGTGTCTCAGAGAACAGGGAGAGCCGAGGAGAGGGAGAGAGATAGGGGAAAGCATTAC